TCACGAAGATCAAAAGTAATAAAGGCCTATAGTCCAATATAATATTGTTACATACATTTTGAAATCCCTCGCTACACAACAAAAGATGGCGACCTACTTTCACCCATAAAGTGCCCCAAAAATTCTTAATTTCAATTTTTCTCCCTAATTTTCTCAGTTCCTTGTGCCTGCCCTTCAATTTAGCTTATTAGTCCCAAATGCAGAATCCTCATCGTTTTACTTCGGACGCGATCAAGCAATAAACAAAAATGGAAGCGGACAGAATTTTGAGTGGGGTCATTGATTTTTTTCTTTAGTTCGGTGAACGAACTGACGGATCATTGGATAAGCAATCGGCGCCACCCATGGACACCCGAAACACCAGAGGTGTTACAAATGCGTTACTGGCCTTTTGTGGATTAGGAATTTGAGGATTGTTGAGGATTCGGGGAATGAGATTAGGGAGGAAGGTAATTGGGCCTCCGGTAACCCCACTCACACGAAGAAAAACAAATGCTATTTCACGTCGGTTTTTTGTGAGGCCTTGGTATCACTCCAGTCGAGCCGATCCATTCGTCCTGAAGCATGGCTCTTTCACACTTAAAATATGTTAAACAAATGAACCAAGTAATTTTATTTCTGCAAATGGGTTACAAGGCAGCACTTTTACACGTCAATTTTTTAAACTAACGATTAGGTCGACATTTCCTAACTCTGTAAAGAAATACCGAAACAAAGTCAGAGGTCCGTCTGTAATTATAAAATCTGTTCATTGTTCGGAACTTTGGACTTCCTTCCATACTAATATTAATACATAACAACAAGCTACTAAACATAAACATTCAAGTACCTAATTTCATTTTAGCGAAAAAATCTCGCAACAAAAATTCTAAAGGGGCCTAGTTACGGAGTCTTTTGTGTCCGAACTCAAGGTACGGCCGGTTACCCGGCTCAAAGGGCCTGAATACCGTTATCTAGGTTACATCTCCCCGCTCCTCAATGAAAAGTACTCTTAGACATACTAGCATTAAAAGCTTCTAACGTTGAAGACCAAATAAGAACTCGTCTTAGAATGGGTCGCCCAAAACGATGGGTTTTTATTGTGTCCTATTTTCTCATGGGTATATTCAGAACCGACTTTTTAAGGGTGGAAAATCATGGAATGGCTTCTCCGTGAGTGAGGCGGGAGGGAGTGTCAGACTCTTACTGACTTTAAACCACCCCGTTCCTACTTGTGCACTTCGAGACGAAGCCCCAATAACCTTTTACGTTATCCATGGCTTTGTCTTAGGAATATACAATAGATGGACACTGGGTAGCAATGTTTTCTAGTGAACCTAAAACTGAAGCCTTCTTTAAGCAAGCGTGGAGTCATCCCAGAGCTGCGGGCAACCTAATGGTTTACCGAGGCTCAATTCTTTCATAGATTATTTGTAATGAAAGTAATAAGTCGTGTTTACAACGGGTTTTTTTCATGTTATAAAGCTTTATGAAAAAAACTAACGTAAATATTCAAAGGAAATCATAACCATAACATCACGCCTTTTATCCTCGAAAGGGTAGGCAGGCAGAGGTACATTTTGCCACTGTACATTGTAACCACTTTTCACTATTTAAGTAATGAGTCCCCTGTAATAGGGGGTGAGCCTATTGCCATATACCGGGCACGATTCCAGACTCTGAAGTTCGTTGCCCGACCCAGGAATCGAACCCGAGACCCTTCGCCCTGCAGTTGCACTTACAGTTGCACAACCACTCGGTCAACGAGGCAGTTCAAAGGAAATCTATAAATAAACAATAAGCAAAGCAAAGTAAAAGTAGCTACACTATACTATACGGTAAAAACAAATAGTTCGGACGATTTCAAAGCGAATCCGATATCTCGATAGCTCTCGATTTGCAAAATAAACGAGTACACTCGTACTCAAACGTTTTAAAAATATTCGTTTCGCTCGTTTTAAAATGCAAACTGTGATTAAGAGCTAGGGATGGTAATAAATAATATAAGATTTTATGATATTTATTCTAAATTAAATATGACAATATTAAGGCAAGGATACATTAGGGGACAACTATTGTCTCTCGATATGTATCGGCAACATGTCATGCGAAGTCGCCCGACATATTATAGGCGTAACGCGTGCCTATGTCCACAGCGACGTTGATGTTGCCAGACATGTCGATCAAAGTCTGGCAACGTCGCGCAACTTCACCCGACGTCGCTGGCGACACGTGTCGCAAGACATTTGTCCTTTAGTGTATCCTTAGGCTTTAATAGATTTTGATGATTAATACGTGTAAGCTCTTGTTTAAATTATTTTTTAAATCACCGCCCCATTCAAGTACATTCATCAACAAAAAACAATTCGTTCTCAATATATTTTAACAATAGTTCCATTAATAATTTCGAACAGCTTTTGTGCGCAACCGTACGTGATAGATGATACTGTGACGTAATAACTGAGCTCATATGTACCACGTGTGTGTGACGTCATTAAAGTACCGTCAATTATCACTTCATGTGTATTGTACATTTTGAATTCAATGTAAAGCCTTGGATGGTTTTAAATGAAATTAAGAGCCGCTATACAGAGACTGACTCGTTGGCCGAGTGGGCAAAGTAGGTATTACTGGGATTTTCAAAAATTTCTCATTAGTAGCACGGAGTCTTGAGTTGTACCCGGTATATGGCAATAGGCTTACCTATTACATGGGACCCATAACATAAATAATGAAAAGTGGGTGTTACATTGTGGCTAATGTGCACCTCTGCCACACCTGAAACAACACTTGCAATGTGTTTCGTCACGTTACCGGAGGCCCAATTACCCTACCCTTCCTAGTCTCCCCAATCCCCGAATCCCTCACAATTCTCAAATTTCCAATCCCCAAAAGGCCGGTAACGAACTAAACACCAGAGCTGTTAACCTCTGGTGTTCCAGGTGTCCATGGGCGACACCGATTGCTTACCATCAGGTGATTCGTCAGCTCGTTTACCAGGTTATCCCATAAAAAAGCGTTCAAACAGGTCTACCATCACAAATGTATAATTTTAATATGTAATATTGGTTCATACGTTTTCGGTGCATGACCTAGTGCTCGTAAAGTGGGTCAGCAGAATTCCAAGTGGTTACGTCAAGCGTTCCCCTAGTTGCAAACATTCAACATTTAAATTGTTACAATGTAATACGGACTAAGTTTATTTGAATTAAAAGTGGGGCTTTCAATCATATTTGATAATGCCAAACTTTCGTGAGTCATATTAAATTAATTAATATGTTTTTCGGCTTACGTAATAATTATTCGACGATGAACTCTATTTTCTTATATTTTCTTAAATAGTTAAAATATATTTTTATGAGATAATTCGGTAAACGAGCGGATGGATCACCTGATGGTAAGCGATCGGCGTCGCCCATGGACACCCGGAATACCAAAGGTGTTGCAAGTGCGTTTTGGGGATTATGAATTTAAGGATTGTTGTTGATTCAGGGATTGGGGTGATTGGGGAAAGAAGAGAGTATAATTGGGCCTCGCGTAACCTCAGACACACGATGAAGCACAACGCAAGCGTTGTTTCACGTCGGTTTTCTGTGAGGCCGTGGTATCACTTCGGTCGAGCTGACCCATTTTTGCCGAGACATGGAAACATACTCAACATATCAATTAAACAAAAAGCAAACGAAATAACATAACTTCAAAACCCAATAATCCAGAACTTAATCCCACATGCAATAATCTGGTTCCAACCAGATTGTACTAGTTCAAAGTAGTTACAGCCATACGCTGGAACATTCTAGTTAATTGAGTAAGTTTTAACGACGCGCGCTTGTGACGTCATAGCAACGGTTATTGGGTCTTTGAGATCCACAGTTAGTGTTACAGTTTGTTTTAAGAAATTGAAATGAGTTGGTAATTAGTGGGGAACTTTGTGAGGAGTAGAGTATTGCGTCTTGTTCTTCTCTTTTTAAAAGTGTCTTTGTTCTGTAGCAGATGTCTGACTGATGAATGTTAAATTAGATATTCCATGTAATCCAATGTGTTACAAGTTGGAGTATAAATATTCAAAATCAAATATACTCAGGAGTCAGTTTCATAGACAAACTAAATATTACGTAGTTTAAAATTTAAAATTCTCCGTGTAAACTTTTAATTAAATCGACTGCTTGATAAATTGAAGCCTTTTTTTGGTTTCATCATCAACAGCCTGTAAGTGGCTACTGCTAACCAAAGGTCTCTTCTCACACGGATAAGGTTTGAGCATTCATCACCACGCTTGGTCAATGCGAGTTGGCATTTTCAGGCCTAAAATTAGAAATTTTAGTGGTTTCCTTACGATGTTTTCCTTCACCGTTTGTCAGTGCTGTCTAAATAATTTTAGAAAGTACATATAACTCGGAAAATTCACATTGTTACTTGCCGTTGGTAGGTTTCGAACCCGCATTCTCATGCATGAAAAGCGGGCGTCGTAAACCTCCGGGCCACCACGACAGTTTTTTGGTTTAAAAGAAGTAAATTTTGAGCAAATAATAAAGGTTAGATAGTAGTTAGTCAGTGTAAAAAACGAACATTCAACTAAATTTGTTAAAAACTCTGTATCAATTTCTACCTACTATAGAACAGGGTTTTTTAAGGGGGGAAAATCATCGAATGACTGCTCCCGCCTGGGTGAGGCGGGAGGGAGTGTCAGACTCTTACTGACTAAAAACCACCCCGTTCCTTCTCCTGCACGTCGAGCCGGAGTCCCGGTAACCCGGCATCGGCCCAAAAATGTGGAACGCTTGACGATTTTGCGTGTCATCCAGGCCATGCTAATCTTCTCTGTATCGTTCCAATTTTAGTATATGTACTGCCGAAGCAAGTACACTATAAAACAGGGTAGTATACACATTCACACTATCACCAAGACAACATAATAATCCAAAAACCATCTCCCTTCCCCTCTATTGGCAAGATTGGCAAAACAAATTCCCACCAACCACCGCCAATGATTTCTAACTGACTCAATTTCCTTGTTTCAGTCGTACTACGAACTGCGAGCGCTCGATTTCCTGAAACTGAAAGGACGCATAACAAACGGTAAGTAGGGAATTTTTGGTTCACAAATTCAGTGGAGACTTGTAATCGTATTGTCAGGGTTTATTATATTTTTGTTAGGTGTTTTTTTGAATGTCAAATCTTGGATTTCAATGATGATAGAAATGTAGATTTTTGGTCTATGTGTGAGTAAAATAAACTAATGACGCGGCGATTGTCGCGCTGCTACTCGCCGCGTATCGTGTCGCGGAATGCTGCTCACGAATATGAGTCTCTAGCATAGCTTGAAATACGGAGACATGGAGGAATACGGAACCGCGGAGGATTAACGGATTGAAGGGGCTCCGGCTCGAAGGGCAGGAGTAGGAACGGGGTGGTTTTTAGTCATTAAGAGTCTGACACTCCCTCCCGTCTCACCCAGAAAGGAGAAGACATTCGATGATTTTCCCCCTTTAAAAAAAGCATAGCTTGAAACTCTAGTCGAGTTCCTCGTCAAAGAATTACGTAAGCCGAAAATCATAATAATTAGTCAAATTCAGAATACCTTTGCTTCTTAAGACCAATATGAAACAAATTATTTAAAACACCAAGCATTTGCCTCAAGACTGATTCACGATTAAATTTTTTTTATTTAAAACTAACAACAGCTTGTATAGTAGAATTATATTTTTACTTGTATATTATTCCCCACCGGAAACTGAGAATGGTGTTACCGAAAACCTTGAGTCCGTACATTATAAGTAGGTATAGTACGGTTCACGAGTTATGACAGGTGTGAACTTAGCCGCAAGTCACTTTCGCGCATGTATTGTTGCAAATATTTTTTTTAAAACGTTGCCCCACACTAGGATTTTCTCGTGTGTCGTGGGTGCGTATACAAATATACAGGTTCACATACACATTACACCCAGACCCGGAACAACAATCTGTGGATCACACAGAGTTGTTCCGTACAAGAATCGAACCCGCGTCACGTTGCGCGGCAGTTGCCCAAACACTGCGCCAAATAATGATTAAACAATAAAACGACTGTGTTTAACTAGAGTCAATTCCTAGCATATCCGAGCGAACTTCACACCGCCATAACTCGTGAACCGTACTGCACTTTCGCTCATATTAATACGAAGTAGCTAAAGCACTTGGCTATATGTAAGTAATATAATTTTCCACTTTTCCGGGACTAATGACGAAAATGTTCTACTCAAGAAAAATACATTATATCGTAAAGCATAACATCACCCTTTTTATTTCCAAGACGGTTTGGTAGAAGAAGGCATAGTAATTAATGCAATAATTGGCAAGTTTTTTGACATAAAGCGGACACAAATTCCAAACAAATTATTACTGTAAAGTCAAATAGCCGAAAAACTCAAAATTTAACATTCTCCAACATGAAAGCGACAATTAAAACCATTTTCTCGACTAAATACTAGCTGTTGCCCGCGACTTCGTTTACATACAGCACGATTCCTGTTTTATCCCATGAGAACATTTAATCGGGATAAAAAGTATCCTATCACCTAAATTAACCCATACCCTGCCTGTATACCATATATTTCACCAAAATCCGTTCAGTAGTTTTAGCGTGATTCACTGACAAACCTCCAAACATAAACAAAGAAACTTTCATAATTATAACATTAGCGTGATAGACAGTCATCGCACAATTTTTTTCTTCTCTTATAATATCTTCTGATTCACTTCGTTGCAGTTCAGTCGTTCAGTAGTAGCACGGAGTCTGGAATTGCGCCCGGTATATGGCAATAGGCTCACCCCCTATTACATGGGACTCATAACATAAATAGTGAAAAGTGGGTGTTACATTGTACACTGTACATGCATAATGCATAATGTACACCTCTGCCTACCCCTTCGGGGATAAAAGGCGTGATGTTATGTTATGTCCAAGACAGTGATCCATGTCCCTGGGACGTGCGACTTAAGTATTCCGGTGTTTTCATGGTTGTATCTTTAGATCCTGGCTTACAGGAGTTGCAGCGGTTTTGGGAGGTTGTGACTAGCTTGTCCCAATTTTAGTTATTGCACTAAAATTTCTCAAAATCTGTTTAATAACAAAATACACGTATCAAACCTATATTCTATATTTCTCTTCTTTCAAACATGTACCTACCATATTAATAAAGACAACCTCATTTCTAAATGCCAAACAATCTTGACCTGTGTGTGAAGCCCTAAAAACAGTCCTTGAGAGGGAAAAGCCCCAAATTCTTTGTATCGCATTTTCCTTATTTACATACAGTTAAAGCCTCCCAAGGGTAACTCGACAAATAAGAAAAAAATCTTGGAATTCTATTTCGTCACACATATGAGAGGGTAATAAAGTTGATTTCTATATATATATAATGGTATACGGACATTATAGCAAGTGGTAGGTGAGAGTGGGGAGCACTCTGAACATCTGAGAAGGTTGCCCCTACTAGGGGTGCCGCGGTTTTGTGGAATTTTGAGAGAGATTTGTGTGGAAGCCCTTGAATGGTTTCACTATCCCATTTGATTATCCCAAGGTTTTAGTGAATGTAGCATCAAAATGAATAAACATGTTTCTTAATACTATAGTAATAGTAATAAGAAAATAATAAATAGTTTCTTTCAAGCATACGAACTCATAGAAACAAATTACACCAATCACAAAATATAAATGACACTGAAATAAAATTACAATAAAGTAAAATTAAAGACTTAAATCATTAATTAAAAACATAAAAAAATATTAATTGCATTACATTCTATCTTTGTCTTTCCTTTTTTGTCGTGTATAACAAGCTTCGCCCGCGAAGTAACAGAATAAGGGAAGCCTATATTACTGGCCAGCCTTCAAACGTAGAACCGCCTGCATCACGTGAAAGTAAGACACACAACCACACTTTAACTTTTCTAATACGAGTAAGGATAGAAAGAATTAAACATATCATAAAATCACGCCTTTTATCCCCAAAGGGGTAGGCAGAGGTGCACATTATGCCACTGTACAATGTAACCCACTTTTCACTATTTATATTATGAGTCCCATGTAATCCTATTGCCATATACCGGGCACAATTCCAGACTCCGTGCTACTAGGTACTGAGAATTTTTTAAAACCCAGTAATACCTTGCCCGACCCGGGAATCGAACCCGAGACCCCTTCCCCTCACTTACGACCACTACGATGCAGTCAGTTCAGAAAGAATGAAAAGAATTAAATAACAAATCTTATACAAAATAAAAATTAAGACAATGAATCGAGCCATAAAAGTTCGTAGCATAACCTTTTCCAAAAGTAGGGGCTCTCAAGAACCCGCGGAGTTTTCCAACAACAATAAAACAAACGCCGTATGTAGGTACGTACTTTGCTTACATTCACAAGATAAAACTTGCGTCTACACTAAGTTTCTTCAGACAGACTAAAAATGTAATGTTTTAGCTGGGCTTTTAAAACAATTGCTCTTTCATTGCATACTTCTTTCTGCTGGCTGTTTCCCAACTCGGTCGGCGGTGAGGCTTTTTATCGTTGTATATAAACTACTAACGGAATTTGATTATTATGGAATTAATTTTAATATTGGGTATTCTGTGAATGGATTGTTAAGTAGTCGCTACCGTCAAAGACGACGTCTTGTGTTCGATCACAAAGCGATTTCTTTTCTGTTTACAAAAATTTGGGCGTTAGCATTTGGTGTTGTAGTAATAATATTTGAATTTCTTTTAATAGAATTAAATTATTTGTTAAGAAACAATGGAGATTTCTATACCACGGCTTATAATTTCGAAGACTAAATTGGCACAACGTTATAGCACATATGATTTTTATACTGTGGTTATAGTATCCTTAATGGACATTGTAAATTACTGAACATTTTTACTTAACCACAAGATACTTGAAACACCATAACTTATTCTTCCCACTTAAATATTTATGGGGAAGTAACATGAAACCATAATTTAGTGAGATCAAAAAGACATTAAGATGAAAGAACTGTTTACCATAAAAGTGTGTGGGACCAAGAATAGTCCCTTGTGGAATCCCTCTTAAAGTTAGAAAGAATTGTAGCCATAACTTTATTATGACTATCTTGTTGATTATGTGGACATACGCGCGGTTGCTGAGCGAGGGATCTGTTTGAGTATAACATATTATTGTAATTCTCATTTTGAATTTGTGCCTGATGATTGACAAGTAAATAGTGTGATGGCATTATGATGACGATTAATCACCACTTTTATTCTTTCCATAAATATCATAAAAGCCTACAGGACTAGATATATGACGAGGACAAGCAGCAGTGCTCTGTGATATAGCTGAGTCTTACATGATTTCATTTTATTTTAAAAATCGAATCTGACGGTGTTCGGGAAACGATTTTAAAAGTAATAAAATATATTCTAAATGTGAAAAGTTAAACCGTACGGCATATGTACATTTGAAAATAGAATTCATTTTTTATATTGATCTTTTTAAACGACCCATCATCAAAATGGGTCAATGATTCTTGACACAAGTACCAACATACAGATTGGTCTCATATAACCAACAGTGATCAAACTCCTCTCAGAAATTGAGGCTCGAGTATTTGATGCCGACTTTGATACACTTCCAACCGCATGCTACCAATATGTCGCTTGAATGCATTGCTAGTCTGATGGCGTCAAAGCAAAATCGATCGTGCCATATACGGGTTAAAAAGCAATTTCGTGTAGCAAGGCATCAAGCTGCTTGACCGAGAAATGGGGAGAAATATTGCACGGGCTTTTACGTGGAATTTCGATCGAATTATAGCGTTGCGGCGATTTTTCTTGTTGGAGTAAGAGTAGAGATATTAAAATAGTAGTCAATGCCTTTATCATCATTATTCGTCTAAATGAGATTTTTGAATATCTTATACCATTACATAAAGAAGAAGAGTTTGTTTTTTTGTTTGTTTGTTTGAACGCCCTAATCTCCGTAACTACAAGTCTGATTAGAATAATTCTTTTTGTGTTAGATAGCGCATTTATCGAGGATGGCTATAGGCTATAAAACATAACGCTACGACCTATAGGAG